AAACTGCTTTTACAGAATAAAGTGAGTTTAGTTGGCTTAGTAGAAACAAGAGTTAAAAGTAATAATGTGAGATCAGTTATGTAAGGAATAACACCTGGTTGGAAGGCACTACACAATTATGAGGACAGTCCTAATGGGAGGATATGGCTGATATGGGATGATAATTGGTATGAGATCAAGAAGATTAACAACTCTGCTCAAATGCTGCATTGTCAGGTCAATGAAAGAAGTAAAGGCTACCAATTCATCTTAACTGTAGTGTATGGGCTTAACACAGTTGAACAGAGAAAGAGTTTGTGGAGAGAAATGGAAACTCTAGCTAAAGGCATTACTCATCCTTGGCTTATAGTAGGGGATTCTAATGCTATAATGTCTGCTAAGGATAGATTAGATGGGATGCCTGTAGTCAATAATGAGATAAAAGATCTAGGTGAATGGGTGAGAGAACTGGGGGTTACTGAATTGCAGTGGACAGGAAACTACTATACCTGGACTAACAAGCAGTGTGGGGAGAACAGAATTGCAAGCAGAATAGATAGAGCTTTTGGAAATGATGAGTGGATGGATAAATGGGGGCATGTTAGAGTATATTATGGGAATCCCAGTATATCTGATCATAGCTCTATGGTGTTAATGCTTCAACAAACTCTGCAGCATGGGAAAGGTAGCTTTAAATTCTTCAATGTTTGGACTGAGCATGAGAGTTTTATGAAATTGGTAGAAACTATATGGAGTAAAGAATATGGTTATAACAAAATGAAGCAAGTGTGGTCTAAATTGAAAGCTCTTCAACCTGTCCTAAAGCAGTTAAATAGGAAAGAGTTCAAGTATATTGGGAACCAGATTGAGATGGCTAGAATGGAGGTAACAAGTATCCAAAACCAGCTAAATGTTCAAGTTACTAATGAATTGATAATGCAGGAGAAGAAGATGTTGATTAAACTTGAAAAGTGGTCTTTGATTAAAGAAAGTGCCTTGAGACAGAAATCAAGGATAAACTGGATAAAGTTAGGGGATGCAAATACTAAGTACTTCAGTTCAGTGATTAAGTAGAGGAACCAAAAGAAGCAAATAAGAAGCATTATGTCACTGCAAGGTGAAATGTTGTATGATCAACAAGGTATCGAAGAGGAGTTTGTGATGTTCTATAAGGGACTTATGGGAACCTCAGCAGGTAAACTTCCAGCCATCAATGTACAAGTGATGAAAAGAGGGCCTACATTGACAAAGCAGCAGAGACTTCAGCTGTGTGTTGCAGTAACAGATCAAGAGATCTATGAGGGACTACAATCTATAGGGAATGATAAAGCTCCAGGGGTAGATGGATACAATGCCTTTTTCTTTAAGCACACTTGGAAGATCATTAAAGATGACATTATTGAGGCTCTTAAAAGTTTCTTCACAACTGGCAAGCTTCATAAAGATTTCAATTGTACTCTAGTGTCTCTCATACCAAAAGGTCAGAATCCAAAAACTGTGAAAGAGTATAGGCCTATAGCTTGTTGTACTGTGCTGTATAAGATCATCTCCAAAGTATTAACCAACAGGCTGCATGGAGTGATTCAGAATGTCATTTGTGATAGTCAAGCAGGATTTATTCCAGGAAGAAAGATAGCTGACAATATAGTGCTTGCTCATGAGTTAGTTAAGGCTTACACTAGGAAGCATATTTCTCCTAGAAGCATGCTGAAGATTGATTTACAGAAAGCTTATGATTCAGTGGAATGGGATTATTTGGAGCAATTAATGTTTGGACTAGGCTTCCCAGAGATGTTTGTGAAGTGGACAATGAAGTGTGTTACAACAGTGAACTATTCTATAGTAGTGAATGGACATACTTCTCAGAGTTTTGAAGCAGCAAAAGGCTTGAGACAAGGGGATCCAATGTCACCTTTCCTGTTTGCCATAGCAATGGAGTACTTGAGCAGACTTCTTAAGGGACTTAAAGAGGATAAAAAGTTCAAGTATCATCCTAAGTGTTCTAAACTTGATATCACTCATCTATGTTTTGCAGATGATCTACTATTGTTTGCTAGAGGAGATCTAGAATCTATTAAAGCAATTCAATTGTGTTTTTCTCAATTTTCTCAAGCATCTGGATTACAAGCAAACTTAAGCAAGAGCTCTATATACTGTGGAGGGGTGCAGCAGGAAGTGAAGCAACAAATTGTTCAACAGCTGGGATACAAGATGGAGGAGCTTCCCTTCAAGTATTTAGGTGTGGCTTTGTCTTCCAAGAAGATGTCAATTATGCAATGGTATCCCCTCATAGAGAAAATTATGGCAAGAATCAACTCATGGACAGCTAGGAAGCTATCCTATACAGGTAGAGCTCAGCTTGTTCAGACTGTGTTGTTTGGTGTCCAAGCTTATTGGGCACAATTATTCATTTTTCCAGCCAACATAATTAAACTAATAGAAGGCTGGTGTAGAAGTTATCTTTGGTCTGGATCAGGGAAGGTTACTAAGAAAGCTTTAATAGCTTGGGAGAGAGTATGTAGGCCTAGAAATGAAGGAGGGCTGGGACTGATAAATATGCACATCTGGAATAGAGGAGCTATAACCAAGCTTTGTTGGGACTTAGCAAACAAGGAAGACAAGCTATGGATAAGGTGGATGCATACTTACTACTTAAAAGGGCAGAGTCCATGGCAGAAAAGAGAACAAGCTAGCTGGATGATCAGGAAAATAATGCAGACTAAACATATAGTAGATCAAGTCCAATTAAAAGAAGGAAAAAGGATGGTGAAACAGCTCTATGACTATATCAGAGGGGAGCAAGCTAAGCCTGAATGGAAATGTCTAATGTATAAGAATGCAGCAAGGCCAAAAGCTATCTTCACATTATGGGTGTTGTTGAATAGAAAGCTTGCAACAGTGGATAGATTAGCTGCTTGGGGAGTGGTACATGATATAACCTGTGTAATGTGTAAAAATGCTGAGGAAAGCCTGGATCATATGTTATTGCAATGTCAATATGCAGAAGAAGTATGGGAAAGAGTTTTGACATGGGCTGGTATTTGCAACAACAGGCCAAGGAATTGGATAAAGTTTATGAACTGGAGTATAAAAAATGGGAAAGGGAAGAGTACACAAGCTCAACTATTCAAGATGATTATGGCTAAAAGTGTCTATACCATATGGAATGAGAGAAACAAGAGAATTTTTGAAGACAAGAAATGTGTGATAGATGAGGTAGTCAAGAGGATAGCCTATGTAACTATTGTTAGATCTTCTAGTACTATTAGCAATATCATTTGTCATAGGAAGATATGAAGTATAGTGAGTAGTGTTGGTGTTATTTTGATTTGTATTTGATCAAGCATGCTGTGTTAGCTGCTTAGCATTGTAAAGTTGTTCTGGTAATTAATGAAGATAGTTACCAAAAAAAAATAACAAAAGTAATAATAATATTAATAATAATCAAAATAAAAAAAAAATAATAACAATAATGACAATAATAATAATAATAGTTATAACAATAATAATAATAGTAGTTATAATAATAATAATAATAATAATAATAATAATCATAATAATAATAACATAATAATAATAATAATTATTATTATATTAATAATAATAATAATAATAAAATTAGATAGTACTAATTATAATAATAATAATATAATTATAATAATAATATTAATAATAATAATAGTAATAATATTAATAATAACAATAGTAGTAATAAAAATAGTAATAACATTAATAATAGTAATAATAATAA